GTTGCGTGCTGCGCCCCCCCCCCCGGCGGCTTCCCGGTGCGCGCGGAGGTCGCGCTCCCACTGGGAAAGGGCAGCCTTCCCTCCCGGCCGGCGCCCTGCAGACGGGCCGGATCCCCGGGCCGGGGCGGCGGGGCTCGTCTTGGGCACATCCGGAGCGCGCCCGGCGGGGGGGAGCGGCCGCGTTGTCGGGGTGCCAGCGAGCGCGCCGCGGCGAGGGTCCTTGCGGGGTCTCCTCCGGCGGAGCCCCTCCTCTCCGGCTCACGCGCGGCCATCTCCGGGCACCCGCGGCTGCTTCTCGCGTTCGGGCAGCCCCGGCTGCTCACCCCCCGTTTCGCCCGGCCCGGCCCGGCCCGGCCCTTTCGCGTGTGTTGGGCTCTGCTCTGTGGGAGTGATCGGGGGGTCCCCGCTGGAGCGAGCCCGGGGCCGCCGCCCGGCGGATCCTGCCCTCGCCGGAGCCGGGCGCGGGTTGGGCGAAGTCCTGCCTGCTTCGCCTCCCTCGGCGGGGCACTCCCGAAGCAGCGAGCCCGCCCGGGCACCAGCGGGCCGGCTCGGGCTGAATTATCTTCCAGGGCCCCCGTGCTGCTTCGTGGGAAGTCTCGCGGCGGGGGGGGGGGCGCTCCCCAGCCCCGGGAGAGCGAAGGGGAGACGCGGGGACGGGGCGCAGCCTCGCCGCCGAGGCAGAATTCCTTGTCCATGACTGCATGGCCCATGTGGGGATTTGGCCGTGAGTCACCTGGGGTGGGTCGGGGAGGCGGCGCTGCCGCGGTGCGCCCGGCGGGGGCCGCGGTGGCGAGCCCACTGGGCGCCTCGCGAGGCGTGGACAGCTGCGAGGACCCGGAGCCGCGCCGCGCCGCGCCCCGCACACACGTGGCCCGCTTGTGCGGCTGACCCGCGGGACTTGCACCGACACGCAGGCGGGAGGAGGAGGAGGAAACGGCGCAGTTGCGGCTGCGCTGCCGCGTTTCCTTTCTGGGCCGGGGCGGACCGGGTTGCTCTTGGGCCTGTCCCGCCTCGGGTAGAACAGGAAGGCGGCTCAGGAAGAGCCTGTGATGTGGTTCCTTTCTCCCCGATAAAGCTTGTTTGTTGTGGCGCTGGCCGGCCGTGCGCGCCGGGCGGTGGAGCGCGGGCAGCACCGCTCGGCTGCGCGGGCAGCTGGGTGTTTTTCCGCGCTGGGGGGGGACCGTGTCCCTGCGCCACTGCTGGCCCCCCGCCGTTTGCACGCTGAGGCCCGAGCTGGGAACGACTGGCCACTGGCTGAGGCCAGGGCAGAGGCCTAGCTTGTGGCCGGCGGGAAAGGGGCTAGTTCTGCCTTGGCAGGCATTAGCTAAGGGCTCGGAAACAAAACTGCCGTTACGCCTGTTTAGGGCTAGTCCTGGTCGCCACCTCGGCCGCAGGGAGCTCAGCCATGTGCATCCGCTGCCCCGGGGGCTTCGGCTGGCCTCCCTCCCGGGAGGAGCCTGGGGGGGAACGGGGGTCGCGACAGAGGCTTATGGAACGAGTGGCTGTGTACAGCGGGCCCTCCTACTCCGGTGCCTCTGCATCGTCCCTGGCCAAGAAGGATGGGAGCTGTAGTCCAACAGTCCTAGAGGAGTCCCCCGCACTCCCATAACGCTAGAACCCGGGATTATCAGTGAGGCAGAAGTGTCGGGCTTCTGGGTGGTTGGAAAGACGGGATTCTTCAGAGGTGTGTAAGCGGGCCGGGGAACCTGCTCTGGGAGGAGGTGGTGCCGGCCAGCAAGCTGGGCCAAGGCTGCTCCTCTCCTTTCCTGCTCGTGGGCTCCCCTTCGGATGGGGCGGTCCGTGTGCCTCTGGCTGACCCAGCCGGAGAGCCCGTCTCCTGGCCGCGGGGCCCGGGGGCAGACTTGCCTGGGGGGGGTGCCTGCAGCACTCGCGGGAAGCCACAGCTGATGCGCCTGGAAGCGTGAGATCACTTTGCTTCCTGGAGTCCCCAAGAGTTCGAGCAGAGATTTTCTGGTGGTGAACGTGCTAAGCTGTGCTCTGAACCCCTGAGGTGGGCAGTCCGCAGTGCCAGAGTAGCCGCCCCTCTGGGTGTCCGGCGCCCGTGCAGCTGCGAGGCCGGTGTCCGGGCATTTGGCTCGTGCGTCCGTGCGCTTGCGGGGCTTGCGGCTGGGCTGTGGCTCCTTCCTCTCCCAGAAGGTAGTTACCCAAGTTTGACACGGTGCTGCATCGAAAGGGTGGAACTTTTTTGAATGGCAGTCCTACGGAGCCGCAGCTGCAATAAGCTGCACGATGGTCGTCTGCCATACTCCGTCTTCCGTGGATCGCCTGGGGCTGATGGGAGCTGTATTCCAGAGCATTTGGAGGACACTGGCTTTGGAAAGGCTGTGCCACCCTGTCACGCCATGTATGCTGGTGGTGTGACGCACCCAGGAAAGGGGC